TACCAGGACTCGGCAATAAGAGTTTATTCACCGTTTTCCGGCGCACAATTATATAACTTTCACCTCTTACGAAGTACATTCGTAGGGGTGAGAAAGTTTTTAAAAAAAATTATATATAAAAAAAAGGCACATGACCATATGGTGCCTTTGCAATGACGAGAGTACTGAAAGCTAGGTGGTGTTAAAACACAGATATTTCAAAGACACGTGACCAACGCAATAACATGTGGATTCCACTTCATGCTGTTAATATACATCTTGAGTTTCATCACACCATTAATTTTTAAGCACTCGACCGACTTTTGAGGCATTCATACACCCCCAGACTATCATGAACCGCCAGCATGTTTCACTGCTAAATCAAGATTTCGAGTGTTTAATTTTGCATAAAGGTTGTGCCATACCTGAGCCTTCGGTCGGAGCCAAAATAGTTATTTATGCACCAATGGCGTTATAAAGGTTTTAAATGCCGAGCGGCGACAAAAAAGCCCGAGCACCTTTGTACCGACGGCTTCTTTTCGCCAGAGATCATTAGAGCCAATTAACACCCGTGGTAAATACATTTTATTTATCTAATTGTAATATATTGAGGAAAGGTAAAATACCTAGAAGGATTTTTGGCATTTATAAGCAAAACTTTAATTTGAAATAGCTAGCGAAATAAAAGGTATTGCGCAAAAAAGCAACTGAAGATTTTCTTAAAAGCAAATATAAATTCAATAAACCCTAAACCCTGAAATAACACGCCAACTCTGTAAATCATACAAAGCACAAAAATATGTAAAGTAATGTGTTATTTCCTCCAATTACAATATTCAGTCTTCCAAATTCATTACATTGTTAAATTGTTCCAAAATTACATTTATCCAAAAAACTGAGTTTAATTCCTCTTTCTGCATGAACTTACAAATCTATCACTTTACAGAATTTCAAAAAATTATCTTTACCTTGGCATAAGATCTTCGTAAAATCACACTAAACACCAGAGATGTTGACGATAAAATGTAAAGAGTTTCCTGTTTTCTCTCAACACTAATAACTCAATAATTACTCATAAATCCATCAACTTTACATGGCTTTAAAGAATGTAATTCTGTCCTAGTTCCTTCATTAAATAATAAAACTGGAAACAACTTAGTTCTGCTCCTCACCTTGCGAGAGCGTGAAGTAAACGGGATCTCTCGCTGGAGGCTCTCCGTGCTGGCCAACGCCTCCGAACCGCTGCCGAAATGGACGAGAAACGCCTCACTCGCCCCCGGAAACTAATTTGGTTTTGCTCCAAACTCCCGTATAAAAAATCTCTGCAAATCCAATTGTGCTCATGAGCATCAAAATGTTACAATATCGGAGTTTTCTTCATCGCAAATTGTCGTTTGAATAAATTTCATATTTACCTCAGTGAGCCCTTTCTTAATCTCTTTCATACGTCATGCTCCGAATTACAGTTCGCCAGCTTATATAATACTTCTTGCTAGGTGTACGCCGCTGCGGCGTACAAGGAAATGAGAACTGGGACGGCGTTACTAGGTGCGATGTTCTTTCTACCCCTCCGCGTCAAGGTTGATTAGTACCCCTCCAAGCCTCGTGCTGTTCCTCTACCGCGATGCGAACTCCGTGTTGACGAGAAGTTTAGCGTTCTTTGAAATGTGTAGTTTCAAGCGCCTCTGGCTGAGCGGTCAATTATTGTTTACATTCGGGTACATGTTATAGTCGTGCATTTAATGTGTGCGCGTGCCTTCGTCATTAATCAATAATTTTCTTTTTTGGCATAATGTTTACCACCTTTACTCGTACATCTAAATTTTTAATTTCACCATCCCGGTGCCAAATCTCTGGTTTCTCCACGACTATTTCCTTATTCTTCTTTTGGTAATAACCCCATACATTTTCTATAGGGTTCAAGTAATAGTTATTCCGGGGCCATGGTAACATTTGAAATCACTTTTCTTCCAAATTCTTGAATATATATTTTTCTTTGTTTCGTTGTGCTTCATTATGCATAAAATGCCATCTTCATTAGGGAACCACTCTAATTTGGGGGAAAAGTTCCTTTTCAAGGATTTTTTTCGTATTGGTATTGCCTCATTATCCCTTCGACAAGGCCATCGCAGATATTACACTAACAGTGTTTCTCTCCAATCATATGGAACTTACGAAAGACGTGCTCGTCTAATAATTTGAACACGTCTGTGTATATACACACATATACAACATCTTCAGCTTAACTCGCAACCCATGTCTGAGAGCATTTGTTCTTGTTCTGGCAAGTACGTGTTTCGCCACCTTCCAAGAGAGCCGTGCTTCGCACGTCGAGACCCCCAGCTCATAAGCTGCAGCAACTTTCCTGCGATTTTCCCCATTCAAGAGCTTACGCGGACAGGTACGCGGCTCACACGCCGAAAACTTTTTGCGCTGCACAGAATGGGTGGGGTGGGATGAGCAGCGACATGCGCAAGAAACAAACTGTCCCTTCAGACGATTCTTACCAGTATGTTTAAGAAACAAAAATTTAATACTGAAGATGTGGAGGGAAGCTGTGACTTCTCAATTTATTAACATCAACGTAACATAATTATTTAATGAAAGTCTTCTCAGAGAAATAAAAGATAGCTCGTGAACAACTGCCAAGCGCATTATTTATAACAATAATAATGTGTTATCTTATTAAGAAAATAAGAAAGGCTTAATTTATTTTTAATTCCAATAAAACATAAATCAATAGTAAATTAATTATTGAAAATTAATAAAAAATAATTTCCTTACGACAAAAAACTGACCGTCGAGTAAATGCTAAAAGAGATCACCATTTGCCAAGAGGCAGGCGTTTACTCTTCAATGTAGTGACTGCAGTACGTTGAAGATTAACAAGGGCAGAATAAGTGCTTTCTTTTACTTTCAACTAAAGTTAGCCATATTCTCTCACTCCGAAATCTGAGGCCACGCGGCCGTGGGTTGCTAAAAAAAAGAAGTGGTGTTTTCAGACATGAGTTGGGAGTTAAGTTCAAGACCCCGTGTATAAAACAAAGTCGGGTTGGTTGCAGCATTTTAACTCGAGAACGACAGGGCCAATTTTAATTATATCTCTCTGATTTGTTGGATATCCACCCGGAATAGCAGAATAACTATTATATCGGGGGGGGGGGTCAAATGCAACCCGCATCGCACTGCACGATTTTTTACTGTACCTTTAAATAACTCCTAAACTAAGAGTTCTAGGGCATTGAAAACTAAAATTTTGAAAGGAAAAAGTTATACGCGTTCTTAAAGAAACTTTCTCACGCCGAAATCTACACAATTAGATCTTGAACATTCTATTACATTTTTGCTGGTCCGGCGCTCCTAGATATTTCCCTACCTGCTCAAAGACATGCAGTTCTGCAATTAGATGTGTATGAGAAGGCGAGGGAGGAAGAGAGGGCGAGTGAAAGAGAGACAGAGACGAAGAGACAGAGGGCAGAATGTGTGCAAGGTTCCACTAGTACTAAATAAACAATAACACTATACACAGAATTACTACAAATACCAATAAAACAAACAAGTAAATTAATACAAAATTATAAAATATAAATTCCTTAAAATGACAGTCTGACCTTTGAGTATATGCTCAAAGTGACCACCATTTGTCAAGAGACATGTGTTTATTCTTTTCGTGTAGTAGTACGCTCCAGTGGCTGCACTATGTTCATGAGTAACAATGACAGAATAACTGCTTTCTCTTTCTTCCCACTACAATTAGCCACATTCTCTCAGCTTGAAATCTAATAGTACTCGGCCGTAAGTCATTAAAAGTGAAAGGGATGCTGAAGATATTTCACGTGTTGCCAAATTGCCAAATCAAGAGGTGGTGTTCCCAGTCATGGTTTGCGTGTTAAGCCAACCCTCCATGTAAAGGTGTATAAACCATTCAACCATCTGGCAGGTAATAAATATTTCTGCGAGTTGTCCAAAGAAACCTATGTTCTCTATTTAATATGCCAGCTCAACTAAATACTTTACAAGTGAGAATGACTCGCAGAGTTTTTTGTTAGTCAACAAATTGATCCCTAATTGAAGTTAACACATCCATGGTTATCAAAATATGCCAGAGTTCGAGTGTGCAAAATTTTGCCAAGGGTATCGCTAATATATTACAATTTTATCTATAACAACAAAATAATTTCCAATTCACAGAACAATGTATCCCACACAATCAATAATTTGCTTTATTACCATGGCCAGTTAAAAGGTGTGTTCAAAGTCATGACTTTCAATGATTTATTCTTTAACCAAGTTCATTGTGAAGAACGTGCAACTTAATTTTAGAACTCAACAAATTCCTCTTTAAAACCATTCTGCGTGTGCATGATTATTAATGTTAATAATTATGGCTATTACTTCTTTTTGATAAGCTGATCTTACTTGCAGCAGTTTGAAATTAGATGCTGCAAACCAGTGTTGCATTGCATTCCAGTTCAAATATCTTTGTTGATTATTATTGGGTCTTTAAATGAAATTTGTATTTGTTGTGCATGTTCATATTTCAATTAGTTACTCTCCTCCTTCTCCATCGAGCGTTTTCATTACAGGTGCTCCTCCAAATGTATGTCCTTGAATACTCCACACACAAACTAGAGGAATTGCAGTTCATCACATACTGTTAAAAAGGAAATTTACAGTAAACATAGCAGCAACATGATACAGAATCAGCATTTTTAAAAGACAATGTGATTAACATGAGGGAGGGGTGATTTACTGAGGTGTAAAATAGATTAAAACAAAAATAATGTATCACATCAAAATAATGTATCATATTCTCTAAGTGATGTTTGTCATAATAAAATTCTAAATTACAATTACAGATCCTGAGCCTTTGCCATACCAGTGCCGGTATGCTGACTGCAGTTTTCTCCATGCTAATTCATGCAAAGAACACAAACTTATTGCAGAGTGCTGCTGCAATAGAATCTTCTTTCAGTACTTAAAAAGTAAGTTTTCTTATAATGGAACTAAAGAGAACAGAGTCGTGTTTGGATGTTCTTTATTACATAACAAGCACAAAAAAGGTACTAATAGCTAAATCAATAAGTTACATCTGAATCACAAAAAATAGATATGATCATTACACTATGATCTTATGTTCTTGGTGTGGAAACATTAATTTTCACCAGGACAATAAGAATATGTGTGAGCTTGCATGCATGTGTGGGTGTAGGAGACTACATATGTCTGAAATACAATTATATTGAAAGAACATTAATAGGAACACTTCCATTTCTTTTCAATTTTACTAAAACAAGCGTTCTAACATTCTAAAAACAAAGAATTCTATCAAGGATAGTTTAAGAATTTTATGTAAGTAAAAACTTTGTACATACTTAAACCGATTGTAATTTTTTCAGTTGTAATCTGATGTTCTCTCTTACAAGTAAAAAAAATATTTCTAAATGAACTTGCCAAAGCAAAGAAAGGATATAATATTGTACTGATCCCTTCAAAATAGAAATCTTGAAGTCTGCTTAAAAATATGAAATTTTTGGGTAACACTTACAGGTTATGCAAACTGAGTTGCACATCATGCAATGAAACTCAACCATATTCGGAAGGCCAAAAATTTAATTAGGTAGTTAGTTACTTTTAATTTAATTAGTAACAGTTAAAATACTCAAGTTTAGCACTATTTCTAGGAGGGGCACCTATTCCTACAAGCCCAGATATGATCATAATAAATTATAATAGAATTTAATTGATCCTTATCTCTTGGGGGTCTGACAACAAAACTCTTCAGAAAAAATAATCTGAAAGAATTCTTTAATAGTACAGAAACGAATCCTTCATGCTCCTGTAAAAGGTTTGTTTCAGTCTCATTGTTTTCATAACAGGAATGTGAATGTTAGAGTAAATCAAGAACTTCAATTTTAGCTTGCCCTGAAAAGACAGTTTCTAATGTAAGAATTTTCCCTAGAACTAATCAAATACTTCTTTACCAATTAGAAATATAAGATTTGAGTGATTGTATGCTTGCTACTTTCTTTGCAGAATCTAGCAAGCAACAATGAATTTTAGGTTTTGATCCACTCTAGTGAACATTAATTTGAAAGTAGGAACTTCATTAGGTTTCCATCAAAATTATTATTTGAACTTAGCTACCAAGTGGGCAAATTTAATTAGGCTACATTGCAATAAAAATGTGAGCTATCTATTTCATCAATGACAAACAACAAAAAGATTGCAAATAGAAAACAAAGCTGCACACTTCCATAGTAAAATAATAATACAAAACTTTTTCCCCTTAAAATCTAAAAGCATACTAGCTTCTTTTTTTTAGGAACAATATCCCCCCTGGATCTTATAATTATAGGCTACCAAATTTTTCAGTTCTTTATCTCGTATTATTGATGGGCTGATCATGAACTATGAAAACAAAACTACTGATATGTCCTGATTGTACTGTGTACTGTATTACAGAATTCTTATATTAACATTATAATGAATCCAGAAATAATATGGATTTGATTACAAACAGATAATGTAGAATTACAGATAATGTAACAGATATATTATGTTCTGAAAAAATTTGTCACTTTTCCATGTGTATAAAGGAAGAGTTTGAAGTAACCAAATACATGATTTTCTGCTAAATACTTTATCGAACCTAGAACTCTCTTGCAAGCATGAAGTTGTCAAACAATATGCTGCAGAAAGTCAAGACTTTGAAGATTTCAAGCAAAAATGATCCTTTCACAGAATTTTTACATTCATGCATTCTCAATCATTTATGACAATAAATCGTTATAAATTATATTTAGCTTTTGTGTAAACAAATTATATTTTTTTGTTGCAGGTCTTGCATAACTTATCACATTGCGTTCTGTAAAGACCTTTCCAACCAAGAATATCGGAATATGAAACAAGATGGCAACCTAAACAAGACTAGAGGAAGTGTGCCAAATCAAATACTGACTAACACATTGTATTTACAAAACTTGTATTTATTGATTAAATCTTCTGGTATTTCAAAAGAGTGTAGAGATATTAATACTTACAAAAGTATAGCCATTATAAAAATACACAGCTCTTCTGTGCACAAAAAAAAAATCACAATCATAAAAGACTTCTAAAATAAATAGATAACGTGCACTTTTCTAGCGAGATACTAGTTCCTTCTCTTTTTCCACGTGATGTGAAGATAAGAGGTGTATCCTTAATAATCTTGCATTAGCAAATGCAATGTTGCATAATTTGCAGTCAATATCACCACTGTAAGTTACTTTTCTGAAAACACAAGGAAGTGATGTATAATTTTTTGTTACAATGAAATATAGATACTAGAAATTTCGAAAATAAAATTAAATTCTTATGAAAGCACTTAAACAATGTTTTATTATTCTACTTTTGTAAGAAAGGATGAGTCACAAAACAGGAGGGAGGATCATTCTAAATCATACAGACATAATTTACTACCAAGAATTAGCTAAATTTATGTGACAATCATGAAGACTTTTTATAACATTCTGTTGGTGTGTGCAGCATCCTTGAGTACAACATCATCAGGTATTATCAATGAAACAATGTCTTTAGAAAGTCCTCAATTTTTTCAAATTTATTCTCAATTTTTACAAGGAAGGGCAAGGACAAAACTCTCCAAAACTGGTCATAAACATATCACCAATGCTTTCTGAAAATAGGTTGATTAGAAGGAAAAGTCACTTGGTTCAAAGGATAAAAAGTTAATCAATTTTGATTTGTGCAGTGGACGTATAGAAAAAGAATTCAAACTTACATTATGTATACATGCACCCAACCATTAAAATGTTTAGGATATTATAAATAACATTTTAAGCTTTTTGAAAAGCTGATTTAGCCCATTTCATTTTTTTTGTTTTAATCATTTTCCCTATTCATGTTATTATTAGGCTAAACAATTATTGCAATATATAACAAATTTAAATTACTCATTTTAGTCATGTTTTCCTTCTGGACTTGAGCAAAGTTATTATTAAAAAACACAAGAACAATTTTTCAACTTCTTAAGTACTATCTTGAAAATTAGAACCACAACAAAAATTCTTTAAGATTTACTGTTGCAATGAACAACTGTGAACAATCCCAAAATATCTTGTGTACCTTATATGAAGGACTCCCTTTTGTCTTTGCACTTTTGAAATGAAAATAGGTTTGCACACCGATAACATAGGTTTGCACCACAACACAACAATGGATTCTTGAATGCCACCGCTGTCCTATCTACAAAGCAATTCCCCAGATCTCTTATCTTAGAAGAACTCAATTTGTGTTTCATCTTTGCAAAACAACCATTATGTTGAATTTTCTAGAATGGCTCACAAAAGTTTCAAATGGATAGTGTATTTAAATTATGATGTTACAAGGGAGGTATATAGTAGGTTAAAAGTTAGGAATCCAGGACGCATTCACTAAACATCTTACTATCCTTTGATTCATTACAAAAGAACAATTGCAATTTATTTGATTGTCATTAACTAAATTGTGTTCAAAAGGCCTTTTGACTCCTTAACATGTTTTCAACAAATATTAGACCTGTCCAATTTTTGTAAGCATTCTTTACTATATTTGAGCAAAAAAATATAAGTTTGAGCCATTTTTCAATTTTAATCATGTCTTTGGAGGTTTCATATAAAATATTCCCCAACATCAACCAGATAGACAGATAATATCAAATTTGGTGAAAATCTTGTGCAGAGTTTAGGAACCAGTGTTGTCCAGAAACAGGTATGCAATAACTACTTTTTCGGGTCCATAAACCCACAAAATATGGTTTCAGTATGTATTCAGGGAGTTATTTTCATTGTATAAGAAAAATCAACTTTTTTCGAAATGGGGACCCGAACTTAGTTCATCAAACATTGTCAGGGGTGAATTCTGAGAAGAGGAAAATAATATACACAAGTTGAAAGAGAATATTTTTGATTAAAAAAAAAAAAAAAAGTATACCTATGAATAGTATACCTATTCATTGTGTAACATTTAATGAACATTGATTATTAAGAAAAATACCTATAAATATTACTTAATACCCTTAATATTACTTAATTACTTAAAACTATTAAGGAGGGACATTCTTTTTTTTCATAAATACACCCACACAATACTCTTACGAACTCTCAAGATACTTACCCCTCAGCAACCTCGTGCAAGAATTTCACATTTTCCACCAAAGATGTGTCCACTTTACTTTCAAGATATACAGCCCAATGAAGCCGAAAAACGGCACGTGCATTCTCATGAACAGCACCACCAGCCAAAGGATTCAGTAATAAATCTTTTCTAACTTGATTCCATTTGAATGGTCTATGAAATAACTGTACTTCTTGTGAAGGACGAGGAACATTCAGCAACCTTTAATTGTTGAACCGAATATATTTATTTTAGTATCATGATCTTATGTTAACAAAAACAAAATTAAAAAACTGGTACAAATAGACAAACTAAAAATTAAAGCACTTGAGGAAAAAAGAAGTCAATAATCGCAGCGTAAACTTCACAATAATTAATGAAAGAAGAAAGAATATTTTCTTAGATGTTTTCAACATCTTTCCATAAAATGTTATGTACACCATGTATATTTTTACAGGCTGGGCATCCCATCAATTAACAAAATATTGGGAAGCATTACCCAGCAGAGCACCAACTCAGCCCCCTTGCAGAGATGCATACCACATCATCCAACATTAAATTAATCAAGAGAAGATGCTGAAAATTGTCAATTGGCTCAAATGCATTTGATTGATTTTCTCTTCAATAGAGTACCAGATCTCTTTCTTTGCATGATGCATTTTGATTCCTGTGAACCCATTATCATTCAATTATTCATGAGATTAGTTAAATCAGATGATCTGAAAGGCTATAACCCCCAACTAATTATTTGATTGTCACAATAGTGCTTAAAAATTAATGGATGATAGTTATAGCGAATTAATGAGTACTAAAGAACTATTGCCAGGTGATGCACTCACCAGCCTCCTTGGGCTTGTTTCACTGAGGTGGCACTTCGTCATCATTAGCAAAAAGGTATTCTGTCTGCCCATTATAAGACCATTACTGACGATTTAACATGCACACACTCTTTCATGCATTTCACCCTACACCCACCCATGTTATTTCATGTTCAAACTATAGCAAGATTCACGAAAGCTATCAGAAAATATTATAAAAGTGTTATCAGAAAATATTATTTGAGTTTAATTTTTTTTTAAAGGGGAAGGGCCCATTGATGCACCACACACATATTACTTTGCAAGACTGAATGATCTCAGTTTCAGTGTTCAAAAGATGAAAATCATAATTTTATATGAACTAAATTAACAAACTATGATATTCCCCAATAAACCTAGAATTACCCAAATACAATGCAATAATTTCTTTGAATTAACTATACTAAAACATCACAGAATTCCACATTATCTTTGCAGGTTTGAATACTCACTTAAATAGAAATTCCTTAACTTTGCCTTGGCACTGGATCATATCACTTGTAGCACACGATGGGTATTCTTGGTCGGCATCTGTGTAGAAACTAATTGTCATCCAGTAACGTAATCGATTAATCTACAGTAATAAAAAAGACATTAGTTTTCATATTTATTATTCATTTCATATTTATTATATCATTTATTTTCAGAAAATTAAATGAATAATTTTCAGTTTTATAACCTTCTTACGTTTTTAATATCCTGCAGAGTTATAACTGTATCAAATGTCACCTCCATGTCATGATCAGGAAAGTAAGATACACCTGTTTGTGGATCAGCACCGAGGCCACACAAGGCTCCAGTGTAGGTTGTCCCATCTGGACTTCTCCTACACATTAGAATCAGTCCATTTCATAATACCAGTAAAACTATACTTGGTAAGCATTTTTCTTTCTATTCTTATCATTCTATCAGTTAAGAAAAAGAATTGTAACACCAACTTCACTACCCAGTTCTAGGGCAATATTCAAAGAATTGCAATAGGGGGACATAAATTATACACTAAAGGGATTCAAATTTGGACAGACATCATTAAAATAAAAGAAGTCCTTTAACACTAGTGTAATGGCTCTCCAACAAAATAACCCTTTAGGGTAGATTTGCATATCACGTGAATTAAGGGTTTCTTTGCAAATTCTAAAATTGATCTTTTCTGCACTATGAAAGCGCAAATGTACACTCTAGGCGCATGTCCACCAGCACACCCCTACACACTCATTAAGTGGGTCAAAAGGCCTGACCTTCAAGAATTTTTGTATTCATGTCAACATGGGTTAAGTGCTTCAATGTTAAAGAAACTAAATGCAGGTATAATTTCAGTAGAAGCTCAGGCCATTTGAAGCATGTTTGTGCTACAACCAAACATTTTTAAAATTTAAATCCTCACATTTCATTATATGTATTACGGCTATAAGTTTCATTTACACAACTATTCCTGTGGCCAAAATTGATCACAATTTTCTTGCAGCAACTGCAAATCAGATGCCAGATTATGATATGCGAGTGCTTAACTCTGATGTGCTATCACGGCACCACAATGGTAAAGCATAGGCAATCACAATTTGCACGTTGCCAAAAGAGAGCAATGAGGCATACACCTCAATGATTTTGCCAACCCATCCAAATACCTAGGGACGGTGTCAGGGCCTTTAAACAGAGCAGGAGAATGGCTTTGGAGCCTAGGCACTCCACACCTGTGACAGCTGTCAGCCATTATCTCCCTAGAGCCCAGCCTCAGCACCCCAATTGCTATTATTGTGGAAGTGAACAGCCTGTGCCCACCTGGACAGAAAGTGTGCATTTGAACTTCGTCTCCAAGGAGACCCTTTAAAGCTTTCTTTGTACATCTCGGCCTGCTTCACCATGCCGTCAGGTGGTCTGCCACATTCCTTGCTATTACCAATATAATGTACCAGACATCTATTAGTATCGCGTGTCTGTGACCCTTGACATGCACAGTGATAACTCAGCTGTTCCACCAGCACCCACCCACCCTGATGTCAGGTGCCACATTCTTACACCAAGTGCTCTCAATGTCACCCAAAGAAGCAAATAATGAATAGAAAACCTGTCCCAAATTTAAATTAAGATATTATTGATACATTTATTTTGTTTTGTATCATTCTTCTAAATTTATAATATGAACTACTTGCATATGTTTTGAGCCACATAGCCTCTTATATTTTCAAAATGAAATAGAAATGTTAAAAATAAGATAGAGATAGTATCTGAAAAATAAGATAGTATCTGAATTTTTTTTGGCAA